AAGACACCTTATTCAGGGAGACACCACTCACAGTGGGCTGAGTTCTCCTATGTCAATCATCGCTCAAGAAAATTCCACAAAGACATGACCACAGAGACGGTTTTTCAGTTGGGATTCCCTCTTCCCAGGTGGTTCTAGATTCTACCAAGTTGACAATAAAACAAGCCAGCACACACAGGTAAGCATTATAGTGCAGTAGAGTTGTCAGGCTATAAGAAAGGAATCAAGAAAGGTGTTAGAGCCACTACCCCTAAAGTACATAGAAGAACCTTTGAGTTTTCATCTTTGGTCCCAGACCCCAGTTCTCATCTCTCTCTCATCTCCCCCCTCTCTCTTCTTTTAAAGACAGGGATGAAATGAAAATACTTGTCTAAGTTTCTTTCAAGACTCTTATGGGACTGACTACAATCTTGCTGTCTCTTTTTGTTGGGAACTAAATCCAGGCCCTGTGTGTGCTAGGCAGGCTTTCTACTGCTGGGCTGAAACCCACCCCATGTCTACTTGGACACAGTAGACACAATCTGGAGCTGAGAAAATCAAAGCTAAGAGCCCAGATTCCAGGGACCTTTCCCTGCCCTTCTCTGCATTCCTCGGAGAAACACTGAAGAATGTAAAATTGCTTCCCCTGGGGGACACAGAGCTTGTCCTTCTCTGACCAAACCCCTCCTCCGCAGTTCACCAGACAGAATCACATCACAGGTGAGTGGGGTGTCCTTTCCTGGTGTCTGCTGGGAAGCAGAGAAAGCCAGGGGAGCCCCACTTCTGACCCCTCCCACTTGCATGGAACAGTTGAATGGAGCAGCTGCTGAACTTGAATGCCTCAACATTTATTTTACTGATTCTCATTGAGGTTTCTGGATTGCTATCAAAATCCAGAGCTCAATGAGAAAAGTAGAAAAAATGAGTTACTCTATACCCCCAATTGAACTATAAAATTATTCCTGCTAAGTGTGTATAATAATTTAATAACATCATCCAGGCACCTCTGAGGTCAGGAATGTTATAAATATCTTATACTGACATAATTTCTGGAACTTCAGGCCTCCCTCATGTGCAACACAGGAAGTTCTAAAGCTGTCTCTAGGGTATGCTGTCTTCCTTGGAAGAAGGGAGAAATCCGAGAGCGGAGGAGGCCATCTACCTAGACACAGTCTCTTTCTAGCACCCCTTGGCCCACAAAATCCACTTTCTAATGACAAATGCTTAATAGCCAGGCACTGAGAACCTACAGCGAGATGGTCATTCTTTCATGTACTTTCTTTCACTTTTTAATTTTTTCATTTATTTTAATACCAACCACAGTTTCCTCTCTTCCCATTCCCTCCCTTCCTTCCATCTATCCCCGACCCCATCTGTTCCTCCTCCTCCGTTCAGAAAGGGGCAGGCCTCCCATGGGAGTCAACAAAGCGTATCATATCACATTGAGTCAGGACCAAGCTCTTTCCCCTGCACCATGGCATCCCTGCATTGGAAATAGGTTGCAAAAAGCCAGCTCCAGCACCAGGTCCTGACCCCACTGATAGGGCCCACAAACAGACCAAGATGCACAACTGTCACCCACATGCAGAAGGTCTAGATCAGTCTCATGCAGGATCCCTCGCTGTTGGTCTAGAGTCTGTGAGCGCCCATTAGCCCAGAGGTTAACTCTGTGGGTTTCCCCATCATGATCTTGACCCGACTGGCTCATACAATCCCTACTCCATCAACTTGACTCCCTGAGTCAGCTGGGAGCTCCAGGAGCTCAGCCCAGGGCTTGGCTGTGGATCTCCACATCTACTTCCATCAGTCACAGGATGAAGGCTCTCTGTTGACAGTTAGGGTAGTCACAAATCTGATTACAGGAGAAGGCCAGTTCAGGCACCTTCTCCACTATTTCTAGGAGTTTTTAGCTGGGGTCATCCTTGTGGATTCCTGGAAGTTTTCCTGGCACCAGGTTTCTCCCTAGCTCCATAATGGCCCCTTCTATTAAAATACCCATTCATAGCTGGATGGTGGTAGTGTATGCCTTTAATCCCAGCACTTGGGAGACAGAAGCAGGCAGATCACTGTGAGCCTGGTCTACAAGAGCTAGTTCCAGGACAGCCTCCAAAGCCCAGACTAACCCTGTCTGGAAAAAACAAAAACAAAAACAAACAAATAAAGAACTCTTTCATTACTCTCCCCCTCCATCCTGCTCCCAACTTGACCAACCCTATCCCTATATTCCCATCCCCCATCCCTTCTCCTCCACCCCCATCCCCAGTTTACCCAGGAGACCTCATCTATTTCTCCTTTCCAGGGAAATCCATGCATCCCTCTTAGGGTTCTCTTTGTTACCAAGCTTCTCTGGGGCTGTGGATTGTAACCTGGTTAAACCTTGTTTTACATTCAAGGACTTTCTATATTAATGGTTTTAATCATCATAGTAACCCTTTGAGGTAGGCTTGGCTATCTTTCCCATCTTAGCCTACTAGAAGAGTAGATAGGCTACCCATAGCATGAAGTTTATCAGTAACAGAGTCATGATATTTCAGGCATCCTGGATCCACTGTTCTCAAGATGTTAGGTCGCCTGGAACTGAGCAGCAAGAAACAGGAACGATCAAGTGTGTTGGCTTCTATTTGGCCCCCTTTTAATTAGTTGCTGAATAACTGCAGATGGTGCTTGTAGGCCAGCAAGATCACTGTAGTTCAGTGCTTAGGACAGATATCACTAGTAGACCAGAGTACCACCTTTTTCTAATCCAAGTCCTTTTTAACATGACTTCCCATATTACCTTTACAAATCAGTCAATATAATCTGGGACTGGCCCAGAAAAAGCCAGGAACCAACAACATGGCGCCCCATGCTACCTTTCAACACAGTAATTTACTGCAGCTGCCATATTTAAGGCATTGCTTCTCCTCACAGCTACTCCTACAGGGGAACCTAGGGTTTTACATAGAGGAGCATAAAAAGTTCTTGCATTCTTTGTCTGTGATGTGTTGAAGCCATTAAACACCTTGTCTGCTGTGTGTTCAGAGGACGAGGATAAACTAGAAGGCTGTCTTTCTGTGTGTCCCTTGAGTCCTTATGATGTGAAGACACCAGTCACCTGTTCTGTAACACACAGACCAGCTCCAGGACAATGTATTTGATATACAGGAGTTTTATTTTAAATGGTTTATTTGTTACTTCCAAGCAAGTGACTAACACTTGTTTCTTAACCTCAATTATCCAGTTTAAGTGTTTGAGTCCCCTGTCAACTTTTTGTTGCTAACAGTGAACCCTAAATGTGAAATGGAACAAATGTCAAGATGTTTTTTTGCAGCTAATGACTAATTTTTTTTATATTCTCAGAGGCCTTTGGATAGCAATCAAAAACTTACTATTTTATTTATCAGAAGAGGTTCTTAGAATGATTACATTCAATTGATGTTCTTATTGATGATGACCCAGGAATTGGCAAATGGAACAGGTGACCATCATTGCCCATATTAAATTTGTATAAAGTTTTCTGAAATTGTATTTTTGTGTGAGGTGCCTAGAGATATCTTGTTGTCTTTGTTTTCCTGTTGTTCCTGTTTACCTGATTATTGGAGGCACTTTGCCCAAGGACTCCAAGCAATCATAGCAAATTGTTATCAGTTGCTATTTTGGTTTTAAATATTTAAGATATTTACCCAGTCCTGTCTTTTCCCTTCATTTTAATCTACCATCTTCTAGGTCAGCAATTTTCAATTAGGTACGCTATCAACTTCACTTAAGATGTTTTTACTGAAATAAAAATTTTAGGGGTTCTGCTTTTGTGAGGAAAAGTCAAGTTCAGAAGGCATTAACTTATTTTGTTTCCGAAAGTTCCTTGTCAGTAGTGGCTGCTGTCTGGATCAGAAGTTTTGGGGTTCTTGGAGTGCTGTGCTCAGGGTAAGCAAGAGCAAAGCAGCCAGAGGTTTTGTACACAAGCACAAAATGGACAAGGCACAGAGTAGATCCAGTGCAGCAAGTAAGCAGTGGGCTCTCAGTGAGACTGCTCTGGAGTCTCAAGTCATCATACTCCCTGGCTTTCCTTCTGAGGGTCCAGCTGACTGACAGGGCAGGGGCGTTGCGTAGTTTTCTGTTTTGATTGGCAGGCTTAGGTTGTGTAAGCTTTTGCTTGCTACACATAGTCCTCTCCTGGGATGCATCTAATTTTCTTCATGTGCGTATGCACTCATGCATAGGATGGTAGAGAGTTTTCCCTAGAAGTTCATTCTGGGAACATAGCTTGCCCATCCAAGACAGATGCAACACTGCTCCTGGTTCCAGGATTCATACTAGAATGTATTTGAATAGCTGCTAACCAGGAAAAGGGGGATGCTAAGGAATTGGCAGGGATTACCAGGGCAAAGGAAGCAGTTGCTTTCTTTGGAGAAGGATGGGTGCATAGCTTGCTACAGGTGGTGGTCCTGAGTTGCTAACCACTTAGTGTGTGTGTGTGTGTGTGTGTGTGTGTGTGTGTGTGTATGTGTGCGTGTGTGTGTGTGTGTGTAGTTCAAGCCAAGTGTGATCCTAGTTTTCTAAGCTATCCCTACACTTGCTGCCACCCCCCCCCATGATGTTAAGTTCCTGGGCACTAAGATTGTATGCCTACTGTATTATGTAATAAGGGCAAGCAAGACTATCCTGCCCTGTGTTTTGAGTTATGGGCATGTAGCAATGTTCACAGCTATGGCACTAAACTCTATGCTTCTGAGTGGGCACGATGTGGGGACTTAATGGGACTCCAAAATCCTCCAGGCCATCAGGTAAATACAAAGACCAAGGAGGACTCTGAAAATCCACTGGTTCCCCCACATCACTTCATTCTGTGGCTTCTTTTCCATGCTGCGTAATGATAAGTTACATTTCATAATCACATCATCTCTTCCTTTTTCACTCCCATCCCTAAGTGGATGCCAAGTCCCACCCATGGGCTTGTGTTTCTTTGGTTTGCTGTCTTTCCAAGAGCTGGCTTGTGCTCCACTGCTCAAGACCCCTCCTTCATGACCTTTTTGCAGGCAAAGTCTTCTCTGGAAGCTTCCGCCCACACTGCTCCCTATAAAGGTAGACAGAATAGCCAGCAGAGCAGAGAGCCTGAGATCAACTCAGAAACTTCCAGCTGTCTCCCTCCACCATGCAGATCTCCACAGTGCTTCTGGGCCTGCTGCTTGTGGCCACTGCCTTCACCTCCCAGGTGCTGGCTCACCCAGGTAAGCCCCTTCTTCCCTTTGAAGGATGCCAGCCATCTCTCAATCCAGATGACAGGATTTTTCAGATTCACTGTTAACTCTACAATTCAAAGATGGGATAAGGAACCCCAATCAGTCAAACAGCCAAAATTGACAATGGTCCCTCTCTCTCTCTCTCTCTCTCTCTCTCTCTCTCTCTCTCTCTTTGAGGCAGATGCCAGTGCATGCACAGTCTCCCCTCACACTGTCTGGGTATGGCACATTGAGCATTTGGATAGTGTGATGTCGAAAGACCTATTTTGGGAGAAGAGTTTCTGCAGGATTCTAAGATAGCAACAGTGTCAAAACCAGGAGGGGATCCCGAGACACCCTCTCAAATGGGTTCATCTTGACATCTCGTCTCTATTTAGGAACCTGTTGTCGGTGTTTGTGGCTTACCCCTTTTTCCTATCTTTGGATGACTTACTTTTACTGGGTGTGAACTAATGCAAATCAACAATGGCTTATAGCAAATAACATTAACGCATGTGCTCGGCTCTTGTACTATATACTCAGGTTCCCAGGCTGGTTAGGGGAGTAAAGGAAAAGAGTGCTCAGGGGCTCCATGGGCAACACTTGCAAACTCAGAATCACATGCCATTTCATCTTCTCCCTTATGGACAAAACTGACTAAAACCTCCAGTCAACAAAAATGGCCAAGAGCGAAAGCCTACTTGTGCGCAGAGAACAGACAATGGATAGTATTGATGGCTGGTTTTGAGACTATCACATCACTGTGCACTCCTCTTAATGGCAGCAAAAGTGTATCAGAGTGATGGGGCCTTTTCTGTGCCCTTGTATTCTGGCCAGGAAAGAATGATCTTCAATGGCCATGTTTGTGGTTTTCAATGAGTGCGTTTACTAAGTACATAGCAAGCCAAAGCAAAAGAATAGATGGAGAAAGGGAGAAAGAAGGAGAGCACAAAATATCAATTCTAGTGTTCAAAACCTTCAGCATAAAATGACTAAGGAAATCCCCTTTAAGATGGTCATTTGGGGTTCCCAACAGATAGGGTCTCTCAGGTGAGGCTTCCAAACCAAAGAGCAAATAATAACAGAAAGAACACTGCTAAATTGGGAGCTCATAGCGCCCATCTGAAACTGACTGGAAAGTAGGAACAGGGAGTTCCCTTTTTGTGCTTCCACGGATGAGCTTCCCACAGTTGAACATCTGGCTTCTCTTTCCAAAAACAAGTACTTTTACATCAGGGGATAAATTATAATAACCTCTCTTGGCAATATGTCACATTTTACTGTTCTTAAGGGCATGATATTTCATTCCTGGGAGTCTGGCTATTCCCTCTTCCCTGTCACAGAGATCAGAGGTTAGGGGACTAGTCCATTCCCAAGCAAAGAGATCTTGAAGAACTCTGTGAGATAGACATGTTTTTGCCAAAAACTGAGGTGTGTGTGTGTGTGTGTGTGTGTGTGTGTGTGTGTGGTGTGTGGGGAATCCACTTCCAGAGCCAGCTTCCAGAGATCTCAAACAACACATAACAATTTAGCCATATAATGTACAATGTGTTTAGCTCTTAAATTGCCTGCATGTTGTTATATGGTACTGTCATCTCTTTTATTTGGGGGCAAATAAGGTGGGTTGATTTAATACACTGTGGGATGGATTATGGCACTATTCAGGGTGATCTGGCAGCCCTCAGTAGAAGGAGGTGAGCATGGTGGCCAAGAGTTAGCAGCTTTTGCCTGCATCATTTGAAGTTTTAGGACTTAGAATCCGGATGGCAACAGTCTTAAAAAGAAACTAAGTAGAATTAAAATAGTAAGATGCTGAAGGGTCTACTGTCTTATGAAGGATTTATGGGAGAAACACACCTGTTTAGTCATTGAAAAAGGCAGGGAGTGTAAGGAACATTTTGCTGACAAATAAGTAAAATGGATATGCATGGGTGTTTATCTGGAGTGGGGGTAGGTATCTTTTGAGGGAAAATTGTAAGCCCTCAGCTGGTTTGTTGTTTTTATAGTGGGCCTTTCTTCTTTTATAGTTTTGACCATTTTATGAAACATAGGGCTTAACATTGGCCAGGAGAAACCAGTCAGTACCATTATGGAATTTGACAGCTTGCCCCTTTTAAACTGTCCAAACCCAGTTGTCTGAATGACTGTATTCACTGTGGTGATACTTACTACCTTTTATGTTGGGTGTTTAAGACCATGTGGTTAACCACAGAAATACTTCTTCTTAAGTAACAGGATACTCCTTAGGGGATTGCTCTTGGGTGCTGGGAGGAGCGCCTTGGCTCCATTAGTTTAAAGTTTATTTATTTCCTGTTACTTGTGCTCAGAGCCTGGTGACTATATGGCTTCCTTTGGAAGCATAGAAAACATGTCCTTCTCTGGAGACTGTCCGCTCCTGCAGAGTGTGCACTGCTTAGAGTCCAGTCTCTGGAGATTCCTTGGCCTCTCCAATTAAGAGGAATGGCCATTTGGAGGGATTCCAACATCCAGGTCCTGGCAGACCTTGGAGGCCAAAGTCTAAAACACTGGCTCTAGTTTCTGGCCCTCTTCTCCCCACTGCTATAGGCCTCCAAGTTGTGTTTGCTGAACACCCAGGAGTGTAGTCTTACCATTCCTATATTGTTGAGTCTTGTATGACATTTAAATAAAGGGTAGACAAAGAAAATTTTAAATTAATCCTAATTTTGCTAAAACATAGTTTTCCCAAGTATGAAGCAGCCTAACAAAGTTAGCAAAGACATGAGTAACTAGCTTGCATATTTGATTTTTGAATCGTATTCTGATTTTTTGAAACATATCTCATGTTGCCATGAGCAGATCAATACCTGTAGAAATTTTAATAACTTTCTGTCATCCAACCTAAAGGATCATTAAGTCCCATCTTCTATGTACCTTGTACAATTCACTCATATCTCATGTGACTTGGATTTAAGCTTTATTTTGTCTTTATCTTTTTATTTATTTTTTCACAGAAAATATTTCTATTTGAATTAGAAACAAGAATGTTTTACATGTCAATCCCAGTTCCCACTTCCTCCCCTCCTTCCCTACCACTCCCCCAACTAAAACCCTACCGATCACATATGCTTTCTTTTGTCTTATCACACAAAATCCATATTTATTTTTTAAAATATACCCATTTAATAAAAATTTACATTCGCATATTTACATTCTTTTAAACCCTCCATTTCATCTAGTTACTTTAAAAACTCATTTCTGGCCAGGCGTTGGTGGTGCATGCCTTTAATCCCAGCACTCAGGAGCAGAGGCAGGCGGATCTCTGTGAGTTCAAGGCCAGCCTGGTCTCCAGAGCGAGTGCCAGGATAGGCTCCAAAGCTACACAGAGAAACCCTGTCTCAAAAAACCAAAAAAAAAAAAAAAAAAAAAACTCATTTCTGTAAGAGTTGAATATGAATGATATACATGCTACTGTTTAGTAAATTAACATTGCTTGACCATACATACTACTAAGCTACCAAGGATTTTTGGTTTGGGATTTTGTTTGTCTGTGTTTTTTGTTGTTGTTGTTATTGTTGTTTCTATTGTTTTCAGGCAAGCTGTCTTACCATTTGAGGGTTTTTTTTTTGTTTTTTTTTGTTTTTTTTTTTTGGTTTTTTGTTGTTGTTGTTGTTGTTGTTGTTGTTGTTGTTGTTGTTGTTTTACCTTGGTCTTGCCATCCTGAGAATTCTCTAGAGCTATGGGCAGAGCCTGCAGGGAAATCAATGGCCTTGATCAGTGAACACTCTGTAAACAAGTAAAGGCCGAAGGAATTAAATGTTCACAGAGAGACACAATCTTTACATGTTAACCTTGACATTGTAGTTTTAGGTACAGAAGATGGTTAAAGTCCCTTGTTCTAGTGATGGAGACAATGGGAAGCCAGGTGTCTGTGGGTGCCTCTTCACGCCTCCATCACTGGGCCCTCATTGTGTACACAGCCTTTCACTTTTTATGAGAGTCACTCCTTTAAAACAGAAATGACAGTTCATTGATCCTGCCAACAATTATATTCTGTATGGTCTGAGGAGTGGTCTGTACAGCAACACTTGAAGTTTTGATTGAGAGAGTATTTCTTAAACACATACTAAGTCAAAGTAATAGTAAAACAAAACACACACACACACACACACACACACACACACACACACACGGGGTTGGGGGTTGGGGGGGCCGAATACCCTCAGATCCAGCACTCGAAACACCCAGCAACAATCAACTGAGGAAGCCTTGTTGAAGTTGTCAATTGGTGTTCCCAGGGACAGAGTAGCGTGCCCCTCCCTGGAAAAAAATATAAGAGAAAGGTAACATCATCAAACTGGGGACTGAAAACCAGCAGAAACTGGTTGTGGAAGCCCCTGGGGTAGTCAGCTGGAGCCTGCATTGAGTACTTCTCCATGACTGAAGCTTTTTCATGTCCTGTTAGGGACAGTCTCCATTCTAGCTGTTCCTGGGGGCACACTACTGTCCTTTGTGGTCTGTTCTGCTATTCTCTCCTGCCATCCCCCTGCCTGACAAATCTTGGAGAAAACTGGACATAAACATGCTTAGCTCTGAAATGGAAGGGAGGGCAAATCTGCTTCGGAGACCAACTCCTCAGTGAGCCTAACAATATATCCCAGTTTACCAATAGAATGTCCGTTACACCTTGTCGGAGAGGATGGGTCCCCTCTGTGGAGAGGACCATGGAGGAGGGGAGTGTCCACATCATCAAGGGCACAGGGCTTCGTGATTTACCTACACCTGGGTTTCGCCTTTACCTCCTCCTAACTTTCTTCCTACAGAGTCGTGTTTGAAAACACCCATGGATCACAGATGGCTCATTCTTTCTGTCTATTTCCTTCTCCCCAAATTTAGGTTCTATCCCAGCTTCCTGCTGCTTTGTTATGGCCAATAAAAAGATTCCCAAGCCACTACTGAAGAACTACAAAAAGATCACCAACAGCAGATGCACCCTGAAAGCCATAATGTGAGCAGACAACCCCACCCCTACCCGACACACATACACAAACTCACTTCCAAGGCACATAGTCAAGAGCTGTGTCCTGATTCAAGAATCAGGCAGTTTGCCCCCTTATCCCAATCCATGGGCTTTCATAGTACAAAGAGTTTAGTCCCAGCACTCTGCATGGGAGCAGGTTCCTGGCCATGTTAGTTCTTTCAACTATATATATAGAGAAAATATATCTTTATTGGGCCATCAAGAGTTGAAGTCAAGCCTGGGGCCTCATCCTTCCTCTGACCATCATTTTGTACCACAGTGACCTCTGCACCCCATAGCAAACGATTCGGGAGGGTCTGAGGAGGAAAGGGGAGAATTTTTCAGAGTATCCTCCTGACTGTTTGCTCTCTTCTCCAGCTTCAGGACCAAGTTGGGAAAAGATATCTGTGCTGACCCCAAGCAGAAGTGGGTTCAGGATGCCATAAAGCACCTGGACCAAATCCTCCAAACTCCAAAACCATAAACAATCCCACCTTTTGAGACTAAACCAGAGCCGAAGAAACACTTGATCCAATCTCCATATGCCCTCGGGTCATCTCAGCACTGATCTCTAAGGACTCGGCTTCATTTAGTTATGGGTGGACCTGGAAGACATTATGTTTGGTGAAATAAGCCAGACTCGAAAAGGTTGTGTAATTTCTTAAATCTGCAAAATCTTAAAGGGGGACATGAAAGTAGATGCCAGATTATTGAGGAATGCGATGGAATAGGATGGGGGATAATTGAGGAGAACAGAGGGGTAAATATGATCAAAGCAGCTTATGGACTTGTGTGAAAATGTCATAATATAATCCATGGTTTTGCACAATTAATATTCACTAATTAAACTATTAATATTTTAAAACATGTTACATTTAAATAATTGAAGAGTTTTAAAGTGTATTTTTCATGTATAGCAGTCTTTTTGTTGTTTACTTGTTTGTTTGAGAGGGTGTCTCATTGTATCACTCTGGCTGACCTAGAACTCAATATGTGGGCCAGGCTGACAAACTCACAGAGTTCTCTCTGTCTCTGCTTTCTGAGTGCTGGGATTTTAAAGGCATATGCCACCATGCTAAGCCTAAGTGTTTTTATTAGTATAAACTAATTATATATAATAAAATATCTCACTACAACTTTTTCTTACATGTCATTTTTAAGAGTTAAAGCTTTGAGGAGATTCCTTTGTGTGAGTCCTGATTAAGTCCTCTTGTGGTCTCCCCATTTACTTGGCAAAGGCCACCACTGTGGAAGTGTTTTTTGTATTGTGGAGGAGATGTTGTTATTGTGGACGTAAGGTGTGTGGTGTTAAATGGAAGTGAATTGGTTTGGGCATTCATAAAATCCATGGCTATCTTATTATCATTGAGTTGTGTTTTTTTTTTTTTCTTTTTTGTGGGAAATCCCATTTCACTCGGGTGGGGTAAAGATGGCAGTTGGGAGAGAACTGTTTGTGAGGTGGGGCTGTGTTCATTACAAAATGACTCTTTGACTTGGCTAGTGTTTATCGAAATCCAGATGTTCCATTTTGGCCCTAGGATTTTTGCTTCTATCAGCAAGGTTCGAACTACACCAACACACACACACACACACACACACACACACACACACACACACACACACACACACACACTGAGCCTGTCCTCTGTAGGCGTCCCCTACACCTGTGGGAATCCTGCTTCCTATCAGCAAGGTCCCATGGTCATCAGTCAGTCACTCTGCTGGGACTCTCCACCATGATGGAATGTCACGCTTGTTCCAAGTATCCCCTGTGACCTATTGCAACCACCTGTGGTAGGTTCTCAAACTGACCTTACTTCTCTGTCTGCAAACATGGGAAAGCATGGGAAGCCAGGTGACCCTGGACAACAGGCTTGGATAAAGGCTTCACGGGTATATTACCTGACAAAAGCCATCATAAGGAGGGAAGAGCCTATATCAGCTCAGAGTTTGAAGGTAAAATCCACTGTGTCGGGCAACATGGCAAGAGCACATTTATCTGCAGCAACAAGAGCACAAGGCAGCTGACCCCACTGGATCTGCAGTCAGGATGCAAGATTGATGCAGACTGGCATTCCACTCACTTTCTCCTGTTTGGGCACCCTGGCTTAGGGATAGCGTTGCCCCTCCCCCAGGGGAGATCTTCCTTCCTCATGTTGACCTTTCTGGAAATCCCTTCACAGACAAGACCAGAGGCAGCAATTCTAGATTCTGTCTGTATTAAAAGATGAGCTATCACAAGACTAAGCTATGTGTAGATATGCATAGACAGGAGGCATCACAGTCCAGACAAAGACTGTGCTTCAGCCAATACCTAGGAGTGAGTGATGTCTGTCAAACTCACTGGGTATCCCCCCTGGGCACAGATGTCTGAAAGAACATGGAGGCCTGGCTGTCAGGGTGGGGAGTTCAGATAGTGGTAAGTAAGGTGAACATAACTTTTATTACCCAAATTGGGCTAGTATTCAGAGTGAATGGGAGCTATGACTAATTTCTCTTAGAAAACAGATATAATCTGGTCAGTAAACCATTATCCTGGTCAGAACACACATTGTTTCCAGTTAGTGAAAAGAGAAGCTTCATGGCTAGAGAAGCTTCAGGAAAAACAGGTGACTATGGGCAGGAATGTTGAGAGGAAGAGGGAAAAGAAGTCAACATACTATTACATTAGGTAGGAAAGAAGCTGCGTGTCTGGGGGGCGGCGAGTGATTGTTGGTAGATAGACAGAGAGCGGATAACCACAAGAGTAGTCCAATGCCAGATGAAGTTATGCATATTGAGAAACTGGTGACAGCAACTTCCCAAGCTCCACCAAGCTGCAATTAAAGCTACTCTCTAACACAGCATCCTACGGAGAGCAGAATTAGAATCCAGCTTCACACATTTGAGAGCAGAGAAGGGGCTCCTCTTCCCTTCAGTATCTCAGATGGACCAGCATCTCCGTCTTCACATAACTGTGGTGTCTAGCCATCGAGACCAGCTCTGTCCCCAAGAGTTGAAGAGGTCTTGGCTGCTTGCTTGTAGAACAGTATCATCTGAAACTGCCAGTCCTGGCCTGAAGCTCGTTGGGTTAGGCTCTGTACAGTTGGGTCCATTGCATAGCCCCAAGCGATACTACTACACCAAGTTCTCCTAGGACCATGGTCACCATAGGACAAGGCAATAAAAAGGTCAGTATCACTCGGGAGAATGTTGTTCTGGGAGGTGGGAGATCTCAGTTTATAACTGTTAGTGATCTCTCCTCTATAAGGTGAAGATTACCATACACGGGATATGGGTGTCATAGGTTATTTTTATTGGGGAGAAATCACTTACATGAGAAACTGATAACCCAGGGTCAGCGCTCTGAGCATCCAGTCTCCACTGCTCTCCAAGACCTGACTGGAACCCTGAGAGAGCGTCGCACTTCCTCTCCCCAGGCTTATATCCCACAGCCATGTACACACCTGTGGCCACGCCCCCACAGGTACCTAGTAAGATCTCTCCCTACACTCCTACTGTTATTTGGGGTCTTCTTAGTGTTAGTCTGATACTATCCTTTGGGTAGGAAACTAAGGACTCTGGCCAATGACCCTGTAAGATCATCTACACTGAGAACAGTCTCTTCACCATATCATGATCTCCACTCACAGGGGCAAGAAAGGCTGGCAGAGGGTGCTACATGCTGAGTAACTGGGATCCTTATTCTATCTTATACTGAACCTTCCAGAAGTTTCTCTGTGTGACAGCTTCTAGTAGCAACTACATAATGGCTCCCATTCAAGAAAGCAAAGGTCTTGATTTCACGTAAAAGCCCCTTATCTCTTCTATAACCTAGCAGACCAGCTCTCAACACCAGCCACGGTTTAGTTGCCTGCTCCGGAGGCGCATACCCAGCCATCAAATGGCCTTAGGGCAGCCCACTAGGAACAGCAGGCCCACAGACCCTCCTATGCCAATCAAATATCAAGGAGACATCAGAAAAGAGGAACAAAGAGGATAGATCCTCTTTTATGCGAAGGACTGAATAGAATTTGGTCACATCTCTCATACCAAGCTTTCTCTCCTGTCCTTTCAAGAATCTTGAATCCATTTCACCTCCAGCAGATCATAGCATGACTTGTCTCTGGAACAGAAAGTCTGAGATATACACATCACCGCACGTGCTGAAGCCTTCTGCTGTTATACAGACTCCAACAAAGACCTGGGCTGTCACTGGTCTCTCTGGGAAGGAAACTCCTAAATGATAATATTCAGACAGAGTACTGGAAAGTGAGGGAAATGGAGAATTTCCATCATGATGTAGTCATAGCCAGCTAATCCTACAGAGAGCACCAGAATGAAGCTAACGCAAAGTGTGAGGCCTGGCTCTTATATACCCCCTTTCTTGTCATGGCTCAAGACTTCAGAGGAAGTTCCTATGGTAGAGACCTAGGCAGAGCCATTGGCACTTCAGTAGGGAAAACCTGGGCATCACTGCAAACTCCATTAGGGTCCTCTGGTCAAATCCATTTGCTCACATGAGATATAGAAAATCCCAGAAGTCTTCCAAGCCCCAGCCCCCAGAAAACTCACAAGAGAAAGGTCAATGGTTGGGTGCTCTTGAGTCTGTAAATGGTGCTTGCCTTCCTCGAATCCTCATTCAACAGTTGCCCCAGCCTCAGCCAGCACCTAAGTTAGGCCAGAAAGCTTGACTGCACTGTTGACTGAGACCTCCCTGCACGAGGATTGAACCTCCGGTCATCTTGTTCTCTGAAGGAGCACAACCTAGTGACACGCTTCATTTGCTGCAGTGTGCCTGCTATTCTGTAGTGATGCAAAGTGGAACATTACAGCAAGGGATCTCAGGAAATGGTGCTGGCTGAGGGACTAGAGCCAAAAACGGCAAACACACACCTGGAAATTGTTTGTTCCAGTTAAGATGAATCATTGCCATTTTCAGGGTAGAACCTGTACACATTAATCAGATGCATGGTTTCTGCTATAGCTGGTTAGGTTCCTGGATGGATAGTCCCACAGCAGGGCCCAGCATGAGCCTCTGTTACTAGCCTCCCCTGCTGTCGGCAACATCAATCTTGGTGGGTAGGAGCCCTTGCCATGGGGCCCACGCATTCATTATATAAACCTGCTCTTATGACTAATTTAATCATGTTCCCACTGTCCCAGCACTGTATTAACAAATACTAGAGGCTGTCAGTGACAATGATTGGCCCATTCTGTTCCCTTGGGATCAGTATATCTTCATGTGCTATGTGCCGTCTTGAAGAAAACATGCACTATGCCTTCAGTTGAGGTTTTGTTTCCCTATGATCAGGCCCTTACAAACCATCCAGACCAGTCATCATTATCTACAACCACACAAATAGTCACATGCCACACAACGATGCTCTGGTCCATTGCAGAGAGCATGCAGGAGGGGAGAACCCAAGATATCATTGCAGTGAGACACACCTGTATCATATGGCTATATCATAGTTCCTTGACATTAATCAGCTTCCAGTGCAGATACTGTGAACATTGTTGAAGTGATAATAAAGGGGGCTTTAGGCTCTCATGTACACTTAGCAGGTAACACGGCACGGGTGTACTAGGGTTTGATTTTGAACAATTTTTATTCATATATATATATAGCAGGATGCTGAGTGGTGTCACCCATTGCAGGGAAGTCCTCCATTAAAGGAAAAGTCAACACAGCAAATTCTATTGCTGTGTTAGGGAGGCTGGAGAGATGCTTCAGTAGCTAAAAACACTGGCTATTCTTCCAGACGATCCAGGTTCAGTTTCCAGCATTCA